CAACGTCAGGCCCTCTGAACCCACAAGGAGCTCACATGCGCAAGGGGAGGCGGGCGGGGCCAGCCCAGGCAGGACTAGGTGGGGGAGAGTCCTGGTGGGTCCTCCCGGGAAAGCCACGGAGTCTACGGGACACGCTCAGGACAGAAGCATCTGGTCCCACTGCCTGAGAACCGTGCACACGGAGGCCGCGGGCTGGCCCAGCGCCTCCGAAAGCTGGCGTGGCTATTGGCAGTGACCGGAAGTTGGGATAAAACAGAACGCTCCCCGCTCTGGGACACCGTGGCCCAGGGTCCAAGGTGGCCAGTCATGGCTCATGGCCCTGGACTGAGCCCCTGGGCCGGCCTCTCCGCACCCCGGCTTCTGCAGGAACCCCAAAGCCTTTGGCTACCCAGGCTGCACCTGCAGCCACGGCGCTCGGGGAGGAGCTTCTTAACTGTGTTGCCGACAGTTTCCTACCACAGCTTCCTGCCCAGAGACAAGATCCACCACCCCCACCCCCCTCACCGTCCCGGACGGCCCCCACCTCGCTGCCCTGTCCTGTGCCCTGACTCTATGGGAGCAGCTGCAGGAGTCTGTGAGGCAGGGCTGGCTGGGTTGGGAAGTGGAGAGAAGGGGGAGGTGGACCCAGCAGAGGGCACCGCACAGGTGCAAGTATGGAAGTGAACTTGAAGGAAGGCGACCAGCGCAGCCCGCCTGGAGCAGAGGGTGGGCTGAGGGCCTTAGAGTCAGTGAAGTAGGCAGGAGGGAGCCGCAGCTGGTTCTTGAGCGAGGGAGGCCTTGGGAAGGAATCGCCTAAAACAGTGATGGCGAACCTATGACACGCGTGTCAGAGGTGACACGCGAACTCATTTTTTTGGTTGGAGCGAGGGAGGCCTTGGGAAGGAATCGCCTAAAACCAACTTGCTCAGTTCATGTGGGAAACAGACTGTGGGGCTCAACCAACCACAGGCACCATGTGGGTTAGACGTGGATCTCAGTTTTATTAATAGAAACAGCAGGTAGAGATCAAAGGAGGTGATGGCAGCACAAACCAACTCGGCAGAGAGATCTGGCCTGGGCAGGTGGGTGTGGCAGCGTGGTTAGCCACAGACAAGATGGCCAGGTAAGGGGACCAGGGCTGCGAAGGGGAGAAAGGAGAAGCCATCAGAGAGGGAGGAGGCAAGCCCGAGAGTCATCGAGAGCCCAAGAGAGCCATGACGTCAGCAGGACGAGTCACTAGTGCCCATACTCAGGGGCCAGTATCCAGGAGGCATAACTGTTTGCCTGGCGCCCTCCAGTGGTGACAGCAGTGCTCCCGGAGGCCAGCTTTTTGGGGGTGGGGGCTGGGGGCG